CCCAGCTACCCCCAAGCGCAGCACACGCTGCAGCCTGTAAAGATTTTGCTTTTTTTAATTGCTAGAGCAGCTCTTTGCCAAGTAGTGCAGCAGCAGAGTCCTGCTGCCGCTGTCCAAGGTCCGTGTGCTTGGTGGGAGGAGCAGGAAAACACCGGGCGCGTGTGTTGGCTGCCCCAGTCCAAGCCTGGAAATAGTCTGGGATTAGTGGTGGAAAAGTGCTGGGAGAAGGGTGAAAAGACCCTTTGAGACTTCAAGACCTTGTCAGCGTAAAGCACAGTGGCAATTGAAATAAAATATGTACTTTGAATTAAGAGCAAATAGCATGGAGCTTGGGAAACAATAAAAAAAGTATAAAAATAATAAATAAATAGCCTACCTTGGAGGGGTGGATTCAGCACTTGGATGTTGGAACACAGCAGAGTCAGCACAGAAATCCTGGGAGCTTCTCTAGGTGTGGTGGTAGGAACATCTGACTCTGACAGGGACCATCTCCTGGATGGGTTTTTCGTGCCCACCCTGGTGATGTTTTTGTCCAGCATTCACAGGATGTGGAGCTCCCCTGGATTTGTGTCATCCTCCCTCAGGCTGGCCCTGGTGGGAGTTTAGGCTGCAGAGAGAGCTCCTGTCCCACCTCCTGGGACACCAAGCCACGATGCAGCTCCACCTTTAAAAATCCCAGAATGGTTTTGATGGGAAAGGACCTTAAATCTCACCCAGTTCCACACTTGTTTGTGAGGGAGGTCCAGCTCTTCACACATTAAAACATTTGTATAATATAATCTTTTAACTCCTGCTATCTTCTGAAATTGTGTGTTCTACATGGAAGATTTTGTCATTAAAAAAAAAAAAAAAAGTGGAATTGCCAGGATGAGGCTTGGAACAACTTGCTCTAATGGAAGGTGTCCCTGTCGGTGTCAGGGGGTGATCTTTGAGGTCTTTCCAGCCATAATCATTCTATGATTCTATGAAATACCCACTTTTTGCCTTAATATGATGATTTTAAAGCAGTGACTTGCCCATTCATCTGGTGATGTTGGGGTTTTGCTTAAACTCCCTCTCAGAGTAATGCACAAGATAGAGAAAAGGAATAGTCAGGCTGCTAAAGATCTTACATAGTGAATGTGAAAAAATTCCAGATAAAAATGGCAATAAAGTAAAGAATAAAGCCCATTTCTTTCCTAAGGACACAGGAGGAAAATGTCTTGTGTCTGCCTTTCAGTTTTATTGACAAGAGACTCAAAATAGCGGGAGCTTTTTCACATGGCAGGTCGGAGATCTGTTAATCATCTTGCCAAAAAAATCTGGATGATAAATCGAGTGGGAAATTATACAGATCATCCAAATCCTAAAATACTGAAGTTGGAAGGGCAGCCTGGAGGCTTCTGAATCTGTGCCATGCTCAAAGCAAAGTCAGGTTCAGAAGCAGGCCAGGTTCCTAAAGCTGAGGTTTGAATTTGGCCAAAATCCCCCTCAGTTGCCACCATCAGCCTTGTGCTTGCCCAGCTCAGCAGCGCTCATGCAGGGCTCTGGTGTGGGGTTATCCAATCCCAGATGAAAGATTGGGCATTCCCTGTGGAAAAACAGGGGGTTACACTGAGCCTTGCACAGAAATCATGGATAAACAGGGAATTTCCTGAACTAAGTATGGTTTGATGCCTTGAACATAGCAAAAGGTGGGAAGGCACATCATCCAGGCTGTCCTTGTCCTAGTAATTTTCCCAAAGTATCTCCTACTGTTGGAAAAGGAGCTATGGTTGGAAATAATTTCCAACTATTGTTGGAAAAGGAACTAAAATTTGGGTTGAACAGATTTTTATTTCAAAAGGAAGGGCAGATTTTTATTTCAAAAAGGGCTGCAAGATCATAATTGGGCTGGAGAGGGTGAACAGAGCTGATCACTCCTTCTCCGTCTTGAGGCAGGGATCAGCCAGAGCCTAAAGAGCTCAGCAGGTGGTTTAGAAGAGGGAAGGGAGATATTTCTTCACCTAAAAAAGTAATTAAATTGTGGAACTCGTTACCTCAGGATGACAGACTGGGGAAAAAATAAAGAGAGGGGAAGGAGAGCAGGTATTGGAGGTTATTAAACATTCCAAGAGCGCTCCTGGCTCAGCAAGTTGTTGAACCTTTAATTGGTGGGACAGGGAAGGATTCCACAACGTTTTTGTTGATCTGGCTCTGTCAGAGTCCAGGTCTGTGCTCCACGTTGGATCATCTTCCAGTCTGATGTGGCTGAGGTTCCTTTGTCCCCAGGAGATGGAGGTGGTGGCAGGACTCCCGAGGAGATGAGGAACAGGGTGGGCTTGCTGAGCTGTCCCTGCATGTGTCCAGCTCTGCCTGTTAATCCCTAAAGTGCTGGGCTCAGAGTGGGGAGATTGAGACTTTTGGGGGAGAAACACAGGATTTGACTGCTTGGGCTTTACATCTCTCGCCTGGCTTTGCTCAAAGTCGTTATCAAAACCCTACAGAGCCCCACAGAGGGTTTCTAAAAACTGCTTTTTCTCCCCAGATCTCCCTGCCTGCATTCCTGTACTTCCCCTGCACAGGGAGTGGAATAAAAAGCTGACTTGAGACCTACTCATTTAATGCCTGAATTAGTTCAATTTTCTCTGCCAGAGGCGCCTCATTTTTTTCCACTGTCTTGCTGTTGGCCTGCTGGGAATCTCTCATTGTCCACAAAAGTTTCACTTGTCCTCCTAAATTGATGATTTTCTCCCCGAGCTCAAATTTTTGCCTTAATATGGACTCTTCCAAAGCTAATTTCTCTTCATAGTTTGCTTAGGTACACATGTATGTGTGCTAAAATCAGTTTCAAAATGGCTCAGATTTATTTTTAAGCCAGGGTGGGTTTTTTTTTTTTTTTGTGGGTTTTTTTTTTCTTTTTCTTTCAGATGCCAAAAGCATTGATTCCTGTCTGATTAAGAAAAAAACAAAAACAAACCAAAACCCATGGAGTATTTTCAGCATGATTTAGCAGCTCATCTACAAGGATCTTGACTGGCTTAACTAAATGGTTGGTGCTCACTCGTGTGTGGAAAAGGCCCTGGTGTCTTTGGATGCACATTTTTTTATTTAACCCAAGCACAATTTAATCTTGGGGAGTTAAAAAATCCAGAGGCTGATGTCTCAAAGCTCGAGCCAATCATTACTGGGAAAATCAACCTATCTCATTAATTTTTGGAGCAAAATGTTTTGTTTTAGCAGAGTTGTCGTCTTTAAATATTTTTGGATGCAAACTTGTGGAATTGTTTGTGGGAAGAAAGCTTTTCTTTTAATATTTTTCCTTCATATTTTCATTTTAAGCTGTAGAAGCATTTATCAGGTAAGCCTTGAGTTCAACAAAACATTCAATTCCAAGTCAGGGCAAGCAATGATTTTTTTTTTTGAGACAAATAAACCATTTTGCTTGATTCTTTGCTTAGAAGAAGTTTGGGGTTTGCATCATACAGAATCCTATTCTGTCTCTTACTTTTTTAATTCTGTGAGAACCCTCAAACCAGAAAAAAAAGCAATTTGTATGATTTCATTTAGAAAGTAAAACACTGTTCCATAGCTCTGTTGCAGAATATTTCCAAGGAGTGATAAAAATGCCATCAGAATAAAGACGTTAATAGGATTTAAACAACATTATGATTTTTTTTTAAGGCAGCTTAAAAACCCCCAACACAGAAAATAAGTGAAACGATGACCTTAGGCACAGCAATAAATACACTGCAGCGGCACAACCAGATTTTGTTATGTGCTGGATGTGAAATGAGCTGTCTTGGGGCTCTCAGCTGGTCAGTTTTAACGCAGACAGCTCTGTCAGAAGGGCAGGGAAGGAGCTGGAGGAGCTGAGGGAGGAAATCGGAGCCTGCAGGAGCTTCGTGTCCCCGTGGCAGGACAGAAGCTGTGACAGCTGCTGCTGAGATGTTGTGGCAGAGGAGATGCTGGCCTGGAGTGTTTTCTGGGAGAAAAAGGGGAAGGTTTTGCGAAGCAGGTCCTGAGATGGGCAGTCAAAGCATGCCCTACAGACGTGGCCTTTAGGATCATTCCTGATTCAAAATCTCTGCTCTGTCTTAAAACATCTCCCCCTGGAGACAGCAGCTGCAACCTCCCCTGCTCCTCTGTGTGATTCTGACTCCAGCTGTGAGGACATGAGCTGGGAGAACATCTGGGCACGTTGAAGTGTCCAACCTCACAGTCCCTCAGAACATTCCCAAAGGGCTTGAGCCACTTTCCTTGCTGTCACCCACCAGTCCAAACTGGAAATCTCGTTGGGCATCCCTAGAAAAAGCAGGTCTAAAAGTGAGACAGGATAGAAATGGCTGCTGAGAAGAGAACACAAAACACAACACAGGAGAAATTTTGATTGCTAAGCCAAACTCTACCACCAGTCAGCCAGGACATCCAACACCCAGCTTGGATATGGATGTTATCAGAGTTTCTGGTGGTGCCAGAGTTGAGATTACACCACTCATGCCAAATAAAGCAAATCTGGAGTAAAAGAGGACTACAAACAACTTTCCTTGAGCCTCTGAGCAATCTGGCTTTGACAAAAAAACCCAGAGATGCTCAAGAAGAACTGGAGCAGACATCAACTACCCTGGAATTGTCCAAGGCCTGGTTGGATGGGGCTTGGAGCAACCTGGTCTAGTGAAAGGTATCCCTGCCCATGGTTTTTAAGATGAATTTTAAGGTTTCTTCTAACCAAAACCTTGCTGGGATTTTATGATCAAATGGGAAAAGGTTTGTGGGGCTGCAAGTCTGACACTACAGTGCTGATCACAAGGAAAGGCAACTGCAGGAAAGCAAGTCCCACCACCTCAAAAAAAAAGTCAAGAGACACTTTGAAGTCAGAGAGACCAAAGATTCTACACCAAAATAAAGAAACCAAACCTCTTTTTTTTTTCTTTTTTTTTTTTTTTAAGAAAAAGATAACATCATTCAGTGTATTTTTTCAAGCTTGCTGGACATCATACCGAAATACTGTAAAGCTGTCAGGGAAATTATATGTTTTTTTCTGTTGTCAACCAAAGCGTGCTTTTATGGAGTTAATTAGCCACAAATGATGAACACACGTCACTTGTCTGGGAATGAATTACAGTACAACCCAATAAACACAACTGGCTTTGCTCTCTGATCATTGCCCTGATGGGCAGGAGGCATCAAACTTCCCTACCCAACCATAAAGGAAACTCCGTGTTCCTTTGTGTTTCATCCTGCAAATCCATCTCCTTCAAGTGCTGCAGTGCTACAGTGTGGGGGGAAACGGGGTCATTGGTATTTCTGCTCTGGCGTGCAAACCTGGGCGTGAGCTCAGGGTGTGAAATGCAATTGCATCGGGGAAAAGGGTTTGGATAAGCTGGGATGGCACGAGGGCTTGGATGTACAACGGAGCTGCTGTCAGATTCCACAGAGAAGTGCAGCCAGTGTCGTCTCTACACAGGATTTTGTGTGCCCTCCACAGACCTTAGAGCCCTTTTTGAAGGTGGAGAGCCACAGTCTTATCAAGTTTTTAGAGTTTGTTTTTTGTTTGTTTTTTTGGTTGGTTGGGACCATTAATTTTCTTTTTTTTTTTCTTTTTAACTTTAATAACAGATGGGTAAACTGAGGCACAGAAAGGTGGTGTGACTGGCCCACAGTTGCTGGTAGACCTTGAACCCCCCAGGTCTTGCTCCCACCTGGGACAGAGCGAGAAGGAAAGGCTGTTCCCAAAGTTCCCTCCACTTGTTCCCAGGGTGAGGAACACCGCGGCTCCTCATGGGGCGAGGGAAAGGGCCTCCACCCTCAGTGGCAATGTCTGGAAGGGCTGGACGGTTCCTGCCAGCCCCTGGGAGGCCAGGGAAGCGAGGAACCTGGCATGGAGAGGCAGGAGCTGGTGGGTCAGGCACTACAGGATGCACTCGTGCCTCTCCGTGGCTTTCAGGGCCTCGTGCATGCTGGCGGCCGAGAGCCTCCTGTTGATGTTCCTGTACCTGCAGCGCAGCAGGTTCCAGAAAGTAGTCCTCAAATCCCGGTTGAAGAAGGCGTAGATGAGGGGGTTGATGAGGGAGTTGGTGTAGCCCAGCCAGAGAAGAGTCCTCTCCAGCCGCAGGGGCATGCAGCTGCAGCGGATGCCGCAGATGAACGGCCGCGCCGTGGACATCAGGAAGAAGGGCAGCCAGCAAAACGTGAAGGCCCCCACGATGATGCCGAGGGTCCTGGCGGCTTTCTGCTCCCGCTTGAAGATGGAAATGTTCTTGCGGTCTTGCCGGAGCAGCTTGGAGAGCGTGGCGCATTCCTCCACGGCTTTGGTGCGGCGGGAGCTGTGGTGGGCGCGGCTGGAGGCCTCGAGGCAGTAGACGCCCTCCTCCTCGTAGTGCTTGGGGAAGTTCATGAAGCGGTGCTTCTCGGCACTGACCTTGGCCGCCTTGTAGATGCGGCTGTACATCACCAGCATGACGGCCATGGGGATGTAGAAGGCCACGCCCGTGGAGTAGACGGTGTAGCCGAAGTCCTGGCTGATGAGGCACACCCGCTCCACCGTCACGTTCTGCGCCCAGCCGAAGAGCGGAGGGAGGGTGATGGAGGCCGACAGGAGCCACACGATGAAGACCATCTTGGCCATCAGCTTCCCGTTCTGCCTCACGGGGTAGGTCAGCGGCCGCGTGATGCCCAGGTACCTGCGGGGAGGAGGAGTTGTCAGGGTTAGGAGTGGGTGGTTTTCACTCCTGATAGGCTGTGAGAGAATTTTGGCCCTCAGAGGGCCCAGAAATTAATTCACCAAATGAAAATCTCCACAGGCATGAGATCTCTTGACTAAACACCCCAATTTATTCTCCGCTTTCTTGCAATCATCCCGCGTGTGGAATCACAGAATGGTTTGGGTTGGAAAGACCTTAAAGACCATCCCGTTCCCACCCCCTGCCATGGGCAGGGACACCTCCCACTATCCCAGGTGGCTCCAAGCCCTGACCAGCCTGGCCTTGAACGCTTCTAGGGATGGCGTGTCCCTAACACAAAGTATCATTGAACTGCAGTCTGAACTTTCCATGACCTCCTGGGGAATAAAAATACTTTAATAAGTTGCATTTTCAGGAATAAAAAGTGCCTGACGTGTTTTATTTTTTCCACCAGAGCTATCCTGCACGGAAAACATGCAACAGCTTCCAGCCATGGCATATAACTCACTCCAGAGTGTTGCTCTTCCCAAGGTGACACCCAGGAGTGGGAGGGGTGATGCTCAGAGTGATGCCACAGGACTGATTCCAGATGAAAGGAATGACTCCTAGCAGTGTTTAATGGGAAGTGGGAAGCACTGCAGCCTTCTCTTATTTGTTGGTGAAGAAATACAACCTGCAGCTAAGATGGCCCTGGGGGACCAAGAAATAATCTTGCCTTTGGGAAGACTTAAAGATGTGTCTGGGTGAGCCCTGCAAGCAAAGATGGAGAGTGGACGATGCTGTTTGGGGACAGTTTTTGGGTTCCTCATGACAATAAAGCCATTGAGGGGCTGAAGAGTGTCCAGGGAAGGGAATGGACCTGGGAAAGGGTCTGGGGCAGCAGGAATGGCTGAGGTAGCTGGGAAAGGGGCTCAGCCTCGAGAAAAGGAGGCTCAGGGGGGACCTTGTGGCTCTGCACAGCTCCCTGAAAGTTGCTGAGCTCTGGAAACTCAAATAGAAATGATCCAAGCAGCTGGAGCCATGTGCTCGTTTGCACAGCCAGTAGCTGCCAAAGTGATGGAGTCCAGCTCTCCCTCAAGAGGAAAATGAGTGGAGTTTGGGGTAAGAGATCCCAAAAACACCTGGTGACCCACAATTCCCCAGTCCTGACCCCTGGGGTTAAGGACTTACCTTGTTGTTTTGCCTGAAAGGAACTGGAGGCTGCACCCACCATCAGCCCCTGTTTGTGCCACGGGGTGTAAACGTGAACTATCCTGACTTTTATTGGAGAGGTTTGTGTGATAAAGAAATTGTGTCAACTGTGGGTAAATTAGAATTGTAAAGCAATAAATTGGGGGGGAGTTGGCCGTTCCCCCTGGAAAACATCTGCCTGCTACTCAGCTCCAATCAATCCAGCAAAAACCTCAAGCCACTCATATGGATTTCTGTTCTGTTACAGCCTTTTTGATTCCAATCTCCTGCTGCTAGAAATTTTTAGGCAGGAACTCATCACCTCTTAACTATTCTTGGATGAACGGTGTCACTCCAGAGGGGCAGTGAGAACAGCAGCTCTATGAGTACTTTCTGCTAAAAGCTGAACAAAAAAGAAACGGAAAATATCTGTGGAGAATTTTACCTCTGCTGTATAATTTTTCTCTGACAGTCAGTCTTACTGTGTTAGGAGATTCTTCTCTTCCCTGATTATTTTGCTCTTCCAGATCATCCCCCAAGATTAGAAGATGGAAATAAAATATAAAAATAAATCTAATTTCTCCTCCCCTCCTGACTGCTAAATCAATTGAGAGACTAAAGTCTTCTCCCCTGCCTCCCTGATAAAATGATTTTGAATTCATTCACTGAGTTGTTCTTTCCTTATTTTCCTCTGTATTCTTTTTTTTTTTTTTTTTTGCGCTGGCCTTAGTCACAAGAACCAACCAAAATTCTCTCTGTTCAGAGAATTCCAGGATGGTTTGGGTTGGATAGAATCTTCAAGATTATCCATTTCCAACACCCTGCCACAGGCAGGGACGCCTTCCACTGTCCCAGATGGCTCCAAGCCCATCCCACCTGACCTTGGGCACTTGCAGGGATGGAGAATCCACAGCTTCTCTGGGCAACCCATTCCCTCCTGATGCCCCTTGGTAGGGCCAGGCTGGGAGAAAACCCTGCTGTGCTCTTTCAATTCCCAAATTAACACTCCAAAAATCGCTCCTCTGGATATCCAAGCCACGAATTTTGCCAATAAATCCATGCTGTGCTGTGTGCCATCCTCTCTTATGCTATTACCGCGTTTCTTTGGAAGCTGATCCGCCTGGGATTTGCTGAAACTTCAAGGAATTTACGCGCCAGCCGAGGAAAACGCTCGCTGGCAAGGTTTAACAAGCAGGCAAAGCTGACACATTTCATCCGCGGATGCCTCGTGCAGCTGCTGCAGGAGGAAACGGGGCCGTTTTGAGGTCTTTGTAATAATTTGGAAACGAGCAGGGAGCCCTCAAAATAGGGCAGCGTTTGCAGGAGGCGAGGTGGTGCTGACAGGCGGTGGAATTTGAGTGGAATTCTCTCCCTTGGAAATTTTTTTGTTTTTCTCTGTGTGTGTGTGTTCGTCCTGCTGCTAATCAAGTTTAGGATAATGAGGTAACAAAAGGCAATTCCCAGGATTTGTGGGCACTTGGTGTGGATTTGCTGGGCTGATGGTGCAGCCGCTCATGCCAGGTGCAATAAATTCCTGCCACATCTCTGATCCTGCAGATCCCAACCCCTCTTGGCTGTGGGGTGGGAGATCTACCCCAGGCTGGGCTGCACCAGCAAACCCCATGGATGGGCCAATTCAGAGTGTTTGTTCTACACTCAGTGGGAATCATGGATTGGGTTGGGTTGGAAGGAACCTTAAATCCCATCCAGTTCCACCGCCGGGGCAGGGACACCTTCCACTATCCCAGATTGCTCCAAGCCCTGTCCAGCCTGGCTTTGGACACTTCCAGGGAGCCAGGGGCAGCCTCAGCTTCTCTGGGCACCCTGTGCCAGGGCTGCCCATCCTCACAGGGAACAATTCCTTCCCAATCTCCCACCCATCCCTGCCCTGGTCCTGTCTTTACATTTCCTGATTAAAAACCCCTCTGTGGCTTCCCTGTAGGCCCCCTTCAATTGTTGGATCATTATGCCAGGGATTAAATAACAAAAACAACCCAAACCTCTCCGAGGTTTCCCCTTTCTCCATCCTGGGAAAAGATGAATCTCCACTCACACATGGGGACAAATAAACCCAGAATTAGGGCTTAGAATTAGGGTTTCCTCGACCCTGCTGTTTTACCACAATTTCATGCCTCCTCTGCAGCCAAAATAAGCTCCTTCCCTGATTTCCAAGCTGATGCCATTCCTGCCCCATCCTGCTGAAGCAGAGGAGGAAACAAAAGGCAGCTGGAGCTGCTACACCTGCCCATGCCCTAAGTCAGAGCTGCTGCAGCATCAGGGATCCATCCCAGACACAGAGCAGGGATCTACCCAGCCTGGGCACCATTTGGATCAAGGACATGGGAGAGGAAATCCAGCAAAATGCTGTGCAGTTTTCATCCCACTGACATTGGAGAGGCATCCTTTTACTGAGGGTGACCCCAATTTGGAGCATGTAATCTGATTTTGGGTGGAAAATACTTGCCAGGGAAGGAGGAGAGCCCCAGCAGAGCTGCCTGGGAAATGGATGCAGAGTTTTTTCTCCACCAGGGATGCCAGAAGTGATGTGTGGGCTTTGGGGAGCTCCTTTTGTCAGCTTCTTGGCATTTTTATGGAGAGTTTCATCAAAGCTGAGCAGCCAAAAGAGGGGATTTTTTTTTTTTTGTGGTGGTTTGTTTTTGGTTTGTGACATTAAAAAATCTGCAACATTGGCAGGCTTTTACATAAGGAAAATATGAGAGGAAGATGGATGTTTCCAGCATTTTTCTTTTCTGATTTCAAAGGAAATCAATCAAATCTCGCTTCAGACAAGATTAGTTCTACCAGCTTCAATCGAGAGGCTTTTAGGAAGCCCTCGGCATTAATAATCAATAACAGCAGCCTACATTTTAATAGTCCTCATCATCCTGTGCAAACCAAGTAGCTTTTCCATCTAAGCTAAGCAAAATATTGAGGACACTTCGGCCATCAATAAAAACAGGGTCTCCTCCTTGGCAGGAGCAGGCCTGACAGTGCTGACCAAGTTGGATTCAGGACAGAACCAGAGGAAATATTTCTATTTCTGAGAAACACCAGGGCTTTTCATCTTCTTCCTCACAGGGCAGGAGGAAGAGCTGGTCCCCATCAGTAGTGATGGTTTGGGTTGATGCCTCGCTGAGATAACAATTTAATCTCTTTTGGAGCAGGTTTTTCAGGGATTCTGCAAGCTCAGCTCTCCTTGTGCTTTTGGTTTTTAGTTGTATTAGCATAGAAATAGAGAATTGTGCTTCTGGAGATGTTTCCATCAAGAGTCAAATGAAAAATCCTGCCCATCCCAGGCTCAGGGGGGAAGTGGAGATCCAGGCATGATCCTGGATCCTCAGTCCACCTCCACACGCTGCCTGAGTGATGCTGCACAGGATGCTTGAGACACTGCTCTGGGATGGTTCACACAAACCCCAGCCCATTCCTGAGGATCCTTGAGGGGGAAAAGCAGCAGGACAGCGCCCCAGTCACCTCCTTCTCTAATAAGCACCAGAGGACATCCCAATAATTCCCATTCCCTCCTCAAGCCCCAGCACAAACTGACCCTACAAGCCCCCTCCACTTGCAGGTTGTCCTTCCTCCCACCCAGAGCCGGCTGGGCACAGCTGAGGGGACGGTCCAGTCCCTTCCCTCTGCTCAATCCTTGCTGATTTTCTCCTTTCCATGCTGGAAATACATTCCAGGCAACTGCCCTGCAACCACTCAACTTCCCATCAGGCCTGTGGCGTGGCGAGGATGAAGTTCTGGGAGCAATTCCTGTGCCAACACACGAGGGAAAAGCCCATGCCAGAAAATTCAGGCTATTTCACAACCTCTTGGGACACAGCTTTTCCTTCCCTAATTCCCAGGAAAGACCAAGTGACATCAAACTCAGGATGTGCCTGCACGGTGTCCTTGGATATGGATCTGCTCCCTGGAGCAGTGACATGGGATGGGAGCGACACGATGGAGGACTGGAATCCATGGAAAGGATTTCTGGGGAAAGATCTCTCCTATTTGTGTGTGTGTTTGGAAAAGTCTTGCTCCAAGGGATGGGATGGGGTGGGATTGGTTGGTTAGGAAAGGAGGGGAAGGAAATGGGAAGAGAAGGGGGAGAGGAAAAAAGGGGATGGGAAGAAGGAGGAAAGAAAAAGGAAAGGAAAAAGAAAGGGAAAAGGATTGCATGTATCCAATTTTTGGGGACTTGGGATGGGGTGGGGAGAGTTGTTGACGTGCTTGGCCAAGGAGAAATGAAAGGGGAAAGGGAAAAAGAAAAAATGGAAAAAGGGGAAAAGGGGAAAAGGAAAAGGTAAGGGAAGATGAGGCAAAAGGAAAAGAAAGGAGAAGGAAAAGGAAATTTTCCAGCAAAGCCAGTCTGGTTAGTGTGTAGCCACTTCCCTGCTCGTCACCCACTAGGAGAAAGCACTGACACATTTAATTCCTGCATTTCATCCCTTCCCTCTCACAGACTCAGGCTCCTGCCAGCTCTGAGCACACCTGCTTTTCTTTTTTTTTTTTTTTTCCAACAGGAAATTTATTAAAATAAAGCAAGTTCAGCAGAAGAGCTGGACCTTGCCTGTGGCCTGGCAGGGCTTTTTCTCTCTACCAGCAGCTCTGAGCTGCCCAGGCTGTGGATCTGCAGCTCCCAGGGGAGCAGTGGCTGGTGGGGATGAAGCTTTGGAGCAGGACTCACTGCTGGCTTGCCCCGGGGGAGGATGTCAAGCAGCAGCAGGATTTTCTCTGTCCTTTCTGCTTTGTCACCCGCTGTGACACCTGCAGAGGTGGCACGGGGAGGTGAAGTGGCACATCTCAGATGAGGGATGTGTCCCTTCCCTGAGCTGCTGCTCAGCCCAAAGCGACCCCCCAGAAGGCAGCACACGTCAGCCCCGGCCACCGGCTCGTCAGCGCCATGGCCCCGATGACGCAGCTGCTAAAATTAGAGCCACCAAGGTGCTGACTTGTCCAAGCCTGGCCACTCTGCCAGGCTGGCTTAGCCTTTCCCTCCCAGCTGCAGGTGTGGGAGGTGAAGCCAGCAAATCCTCAGGAAGGCGCTCACTGAGCTAAACCAGGGGGTTTGGGATCTTGGGATAGGGTGTGGGGAGCTGCTGACATCCTTAACCAAGGCACGAGTCCAGGAAGCAGCAGAGAATCCTACAGGGTTGGCTCCAGAAGCCCCTGGAACCTGGATTTCCAAAGTGCATCTAGGTTTTTGTTGGTTTTTTGTTTGGTTTGTTTGTTTGTTTTTAATTTTTTGAATGGTTTCATGACCCAGGCACCTTCCATGGAGAAGGTCAGGTGCTCAGGAACAATGTGAAGCAGCTGCCAAAAGGGGGAAGACTGAGGAAGCAACTTAGGGAAGTAACTTGTGAAAACACCCCGAGCCCAGCTCTTCCAAAGGGAACGAGGCACTGAATTCCCACAGAAAACCCTCCTCACCTGGAAAAAACACCTCCAGGAGCACTGACCCATCCAGCAACACAATTCTAGGAGCCCCCAACCTCCCGAAACACCCCGAACATCAGAGCCCACCCGAGCGCAGGGCGGCGGCCCGGCCCTGCCTTACCTGTCCACGCTGATGATGCACAAGGTCATGATGGAGGCGGTGCAGCACATCACGTCCATGGCGATGAACACGTTGCAAAACACCTTCCCAAAGAGCCACTCGCCCCCCACCAGGTCCGTGATGGTGACGAAGGGCATGACGGCGAAGGCCACCGACAGGTCCGCGGCGGCCAGGGACACCACCAGGTAGTTGGAGGGCTGCCGGAGCTTCTTGACGATGCACACGGAGATGATGACCAGCCCGTTGCCGGCGATGGTCGTGAGGATGATGATGGAGAGCACGGCCCCGATGACGACCTTCTCGGTGTCCCCATAGAGCAGGATCTCCTCGCCGCAGTCGGTGGCGTTGGTCAGGTTGGAGGGCGGCAGCTCGGGCTCGGCTGGGGCGGGGGGTTCCTCAGTCATGAATGGATTCGGGAGCGGATCCCGAGCCGGCCGCTGCTGCTCTGAGCTCTCCACCAAGAGAAGGTGCTGCTCCAGAAACCTCCTGGGGCCGGCCCTCAGCAGCATGCTCTGAGCTCGCTCCCCCAGCAGTGACACCTCCAGTGGCAAACCAGAACATCTTGTCACAAACAGGGCGAAGAAAATCGAATATCCCCTCATCCTCTTGCCCACCGCCGCCACCCCCTCCACCCCTCTCAGCTCTTGCCTCCCCAGAGCTGCGGCTGCATCTCAGGGGCTCGGCAGGCAGCCGCTTCCCAAGTCTCCTTAAGGACACGCGTTTTGCCGGGGGATGCTTGGAGGAAGCCGCTCTCCACTTGGGAAGGAGCGCGGGCTGCCTGCAACACCTCCCTGCTCGTCCATGTGCTTTTCCAGGAGAGAGAACGGATCGTGGATCGCGTTTCCCTGCCGAGCTGTGCCTGCTGCCGTTGCGCTTCTCCTCTGCATCCATACATTTAATCCCTTTGCAGAGCCTCCTCTGTGGATGCGACACCACGAGCCACAGCACCAGTGCGGGCACATCCCCCGCCGGCTGCATCCCCTGCCCGTGGTACCCGCAAACTTCAAAGCCGGGACCGCAAATCCCCGCTGCTGGCATGCAGTGGCCACACAGGGGCTGTCAGTAGCCACGGGGTGACAGCGGGAGCGGAGTGCAGCACCCCGGGGCATCCCGGCTCCTTCCCGGAGCCCGAGCATCACCACCACGCACGGTGGAGAGATGCTCGGAGAGCCGCGGCCGCGCTCCCACGCCCGCGATTCCACCCCCGCAAGTATTTCCCGGCAAGGAAACTTCACCCCTGGATGCTCCGAGCATCATGTTTAAACCCGCATCCTCTTTTTTGTTTTTTTTTGTTGTTGATGTTTTGTTTCAAACCCCATTTTCCCCATGAAGTTTTGTTTCAATCCAAGCCGGATTGCGGCCCCTTCCTCCCCTTTGCAGCATCCCCCTCGCCGGGGCGGTGATGGGGGGGGGGGTCCCGGAGTTACCTGTGCCGAGGGGGTGAGACATCCTCCAGGCGAGCTCCTGCGAGCTCCGGGCAGGCGAGGAAGCAAAGAGCCACCCCCGGAGCATCCTTCTCCCCTCCCCGCCTCGCCGGTCCCTCCTACCGCCCTCCCCTCGCCTCTGCCGGGCACGGACCCAGATGGTCCCCGGCTCCCTCGGAGCCCCAGGGAGGAGCAAAGAGCGGGGCGGGGGGGTCCGGGAGGATCCTGCAGCGATGGGAGGGAGCGGGGAGCGTGTGAGGATCTGGAGGGAAAAGCTGGAAGTTGAGGAGATGCCTCGGAGCGCTGAGAGGCAGGAGAAGCAGCCTGGAACCCAGCAAGGAGGGCGAGCACAGGAAAAGGCGACATTCCCCAAGAGTTTTTTGTTTTTTTGTGGGTTTTTTTTAAGGATTATTTTGCAGGAGAGGGTTTATTCCCTCGTTCCATGCATTTTTCCAGCCCTCCTGGCTCGTAGCGGGTCCCGCGTTCCTTCAGCTCCGCGCTGAGGAGCAGCAGCCAGAGGCAGACTAACCTTTCCTAAATCCTGGGAAAACCGAAATTGAGACTCTTAAAAAAATAAAATAAAATAAAATAAAGGAAAATAACATGGAAAAATCCACTTCTCTCCCCACCAAATGTTCCACGGGGACTTTGGAGCTCTGATATTTCAACCCAGGGCATCAGACCTCAGTCACAGTTTGCTCCTCCTGGGGTGGAAGATGCTGGGGCAGAGCCATCTCCCACACTGGCTGTTCCCAAGGCTCATTCCCTCGGGAATTCATTCTGCTGCCTTCGCGGGGGGATGGACACCCTGCATCCCTGGGGATGGGGAGGTTGGGAGGGGAGAGCTGCGGGGATGTGGCTGTGGAGCTGTCCGCAGCCTCGGGAAGCGATTCCCGACGCTCTGCTCCGGGCTCAGCGCTCAGGAGAGAGGTGGGAAACTCATCCCAGGACTGAATGGACACCCAGGGGACAGCCTGGAGGGCTGAGTCTGGAAAAACACCTTTAAAATCTCACTGCATTACCTCCGGGCAGAGCCGACAGCGATCCCCAGGGATTTTTGGGGGGGGGAAAAAAAAAAAAAAAGGAAAAATAAAAATAAAAAAAAGATGCATCTGCAAGGAAAGCGCCAGTGAGCTAAACCAGGGCTGTTAAAGCTGTGCTTAACGCTGGGGTTCCTCCTTTGCTGCTCGAGCATCGCAGCGTGTGTGGGAGGCTGGTGAAAATAGCTTCCTCGCCAGGCCAGGACGTGCTGGAGGAGCTCCGGGATTTATTTTTTTTCCCTTTTTATTTTTATTTTATTTTTTTTTCCCATGACAGGTGGGTTTTTTTTTTGTTTTTTGGTTTTTTTTCCCCGGCCCTTCCAGAGCGGTGACGAGCCAGGGTGGGATGGGGCTGATGCATGGCCTGGGGAGGGGGAGCTCACTGAGATTTCCCAAATACACCCAAAATTTCCAAGGAGGGAAAGGGGGATCTGCAGAACTCCCTGCAGCAGGAATCGCTGGATTCTGCAGTCTCCAAAGCCAAATAAATTCAGCCAAGGAGAAAAACACCCCCTAAGGACCGGCTCAGGCAATTTGGGGCCAGATGCCTGGAGAATTTCTGTGCCTGAGCCACAGATCTGCTCCCACCCATGGGAAAGGGTTTAGAGGAAGGATATGGGGTAGGGACATCCTGGAGGGTTTTTTCCAGCCTGGAGGGGTTTTTCCAGCTTCCCTGGGCGCTGCTTTTGGGATAACACCACAGCAAGGAGCTCCTGTGCACTAAGGAGAGACAGGGAAGGATTTTTTTTTCCTCGAGGCATCATCAAGAAGCAGCTGCTTCATGCCCTGGCAGAGAGGAGGGAAGGAGAAAAGGTGATTTTAGAGGTGAGGAGCTTCCTGGGCCCTTTGCTCTGGCTTTCCAGGACTTTTGGCAGAGCCTCAAAATCCTGCAAGAGCTCCAGGGAGCAGAATTGACCCCACTCAGTCTCATCCCAGCCCCATTTCTGCAGGATGCAACCTGCAGCTTTTTACTTCCAGACCTCCTGCACATCTGGGAACCCCAGAGGGGAGTATCCCCCCATTTTTTTTCCCAGGGAAATGAGCTGCTCTCATAACTTGGGGAGCAAAAACAGGGTCAGAAACTCCCTCCCAGCTCATGGGATACTCACCAAGCAGCCAAAGGGCGCATTCTTTGCTTGGGTTGGTTTTTGGGAGGACAGAAGGGAAAATGCCAATTTTCATGTGAAGAAACAATTAAAATAATTATTATTCTTCTGGCTAAAACCCTCGGTGCAGCATTTCTCCAGCCCTGGGCCACGGTGACCTTGCTGAGACACTGCTTCTGGGGCGAGCTGGGAAGGACTAATTGCATTTAGTGGCAATTAAGGGGAGGAAATGGCCAGCGTGCCTTAGCTCAGCACTCACTGGAGCTTTCTGCCTTTGGCTGAGAGGACAGCACAGCTTTGGAGGAGCAGGGATGTTGCTGGAGCGAGGTGGGATGAACCCCAAAGAAGATTATCCGTGCCAAAAAAAGCGCCGGGAAGCAGAAATCACAAAATAAAAAAAGTTTCCTGCACCTGCAGCAGGAGTGGGGAGGGGCGACCAAAATCCTCCCAGCATTCTGAAAGGCAGTGCCCAGATCTATTATTCCATTTTCATCTACAAATGGCCATTTTATTAACAATTAATTGTTAATATTGTGCCCTATTAAGTCTAATGGTGAGGTAATAAGGTAATAAGCGCAGGTATTAATATGCAAATTTGGAGAAATCTCATTAACTCCGAGGTCCTGAATGCTGTTTCCAGGACCAGCATCTTCCCTGCAGCACAGATATTTGACATTTCTCCCTCCCAGCAGGCAGAGCCTGCCCAGATGGATAAAATGAATCCCTCAGCATTTTTAAGGAACACCTCGAAGGGTGGATTTTACCTGCAGGGAAATTTGGGATGAGCCTGTCTGGGGTACCCAAACCTCCTCTGTAGGTGCCACGCTGCTGCTCCCGTGGCTGTGATCAGGAATAACAAAATCTGAGGTGTTTTAGGGACCCAAATCCCATCCCCTTCTCCCCATGGGCATCCCCTGCTTTCCCCCGGGGGCTCTCCCAAAAACAGCATCAAGGAACATCTCCCCAGAATCACCCAGCAAACAAAAATAAAGTGGTGGGAAGGTGGCACCCAGGAGAGGGTTGGATCTCCCAGAAATGAATCCCTTGCTTTGGGCTCCAATCCCAACCCCTTGGGATGTAATTTAACCATTTGCCTATAATTTAAAACTCTGAGAGAGGATATTAGGGTGGTTTTTTTCTTATTGGTCCTGCTTAAAATAGAAAAAAAAATATTAAAATGAAATTTTTCGGTTGTTTTTAAAGGCTCCCAATGCATTTTGCTGTTTGAACAGGTGGGGAACAATTGGAAATGTCACGGGAAAACGCCATCCAAAGGAGACATCCCAAAAATTCATCTCCAAAAGGTGGATTTGCTGAAGAGAAAGGTTTTAATCCCGTTCCATGCAGCCACACTCCCTCTGCTGGAGTCTGCACAGACAACAGGCAGCTTTAGTCACCCAGATTTACAAATTTTGGTTACCTGGGAGGGTTCTCGAGGGTTTCTCCTTTCTCCATCAGGGCAAGATGTGCCCACAGCTCCTCCCGGTGTCCTGCAGAGCTGGGACTGCCCTGGTGAGATGGGGATGAGCTGAGGGGACATTTGGGGATGAGGAGGTGGAAGAGAAGCCCCTGACAGTAAATTTTTGGCTGCAGCCCCTCCTATCCACCCCGAAGCTGCCCATGGTGGGTGCCAAAAGGATTTCCAGGGGGGCTGATGAAGTTAGGGCAAAACCTCAAAATCCTGAAATAGGAAATAATGAAAAAAAGAGAATTATTTAGGTGAAGTCTCCAACACAAACCCCTCAGCCCTGCAGCTCTGGCTTGAGGCTCACCCATTTCCCAGATTTTTTTTATTTGTTATCTTTAGTGCTGATGGTTTATTCAAAGTGATGGAAGTGCAGCTTTTCCACCCACCTTTTCCAAAAGTTTGGGAAGAGTCTGGTTTCAGGTATGGGCAGTAAGATAACAGATTTATTTTGGGGGCTCAGATAGAGAGAGCTCCCCTTTGGTGCTGGGGAAAAACCTGGAGAAAAGGGGGATCAGGAGGGACCTTTTGTCTCTGCACAGCTCCTGACAGGAGGGGACAGCCAGGGGGGATTTGGGATCTTATCCCAGGGAACAGGGACAGGAGGAGAGGGAACGGTCTCAGGCTGGGCCAGGGGAGGTTTAGATTGGATATTTGGGAAAATTCCTTCATGGAAAGGGTGCCCAGCCCTGGCACAGCTGCCCAGGGCAGTGTTGGAGTCCCCATCCATGGAGGGATGTGGATGTGGCCCTTGGGGACATGGATCAGTGGTGGCCTTGGCAGAACTAGATGACCTTCAAGAGCTTTTCCACCCTAAATAATTCTGTGATCCTGTAACACCTCTGGAGCCTCCCCAGCAGGGATGCAGAGCAAACAGCCCCAAACCTTTCCTAAAGCACAGCAGGACAAGTCCCTGGGGAGCAGCAGGAGGAGGGAATGTCACAGCAGGGACAACCTGGAGCTGGGAGGGGGAGCTGTGCCTGCAGCTGGCAGGGCTCTGTCCCCCTTGGAGCAAACCACTCCATAAAACCTTTTCTGACAACTTTTTTTTTTATTTTTGCTGCCTGGCTTTGGGCAGAAGTTTTTGCTTGAAGGCAACGCCCTGGAACTGTCCAAGGTTGGACAGGGCTTGGAGCAACCTGGGCTGGTGGGAAGTGTCCCTGCCCATGGGATGAGAGGAGATTTAAGGTCCTTCCAACAAAATAAAAATATAAAAAATAATAAAAAAAAACATGATTTCTGCTTTCCACACAGGATTTGGGGCTGGTTGAGCTTGAGTCAAGACCTGTACCTACAAACTTCCCATTCTGAGCCCGGTGCTCGGTGCCCTGGTGGTGGAAGGGGTTGGGCTGAGGCTCTCCGGAGGTTGGAGCAGATTTTGGAATTTTGGGAGTGAAACCCCTGCCGGTGTTCTTCTCCCTGTCCCTGTTCTCCTCCCTGTCCCCTAGATGGCAGCGGCTCTCAGCACATCAAACTCCCGATGAAAACCAGCAGGTTTTGTTGCCTGCGAAGGCTCAGGGCCAGAAACAAACACAAAATACACCCCGAATATTTAAAAGGGAAAAGAAAAAAAAAGAAAAAAAAAGAAAAAAAAAGAGAAAAAAACCCCACCAAACCCTACAATTAATTGGTTTTTTTGACTCCTACACTGAAAAATTCCGATTTCTGCCCCTTGGCTTGGCTGCAGCGTTTCTGCTGCTTTCTC